TTTTTTTTTTTTTTTTAACCGATGCAATGTATCATAATCGATGTCGTACGAAGCGAATCTTTTTTTTCCATTAGCTTGTAAAAAACGGAAGAAGAAAAATGAATAAATAATTTGTTACGCATTATGGAAGTTTTCACGGCATCGATTTAAATGTTTTCAGATATCGTGTGTTTTTCATCGATAGACAGAAATAAATTCCATCGATCAGCGCATTTTTGATAATGGCACACTCGTTGCTTCTAAATCGATCTTATCGATTTGTAAAATCACTGGAAGCTATTTTATAGGTTTTATTTATAATAAAGTGTCTAAACGTCTCTACACGTAAGAGGTAGTAATAAAAAGAAATAAGTGTATTGATAGGGTCGACTTGGAAAAAGGAACCATATAAATAAGCGGCTATTCGATATACAGATTATGTGAGAAGTAAAGATCGCAAATAATTATCGATATCTAACTAAAAATGATCAAAACTGTCTGAAAAGTTACGGTGCAATAATGTACCGAATAAGTGATTGTGTTTAGGATAAGTTACTTGCAATAAATAGAATGGAAATTAATTCTCTCTTCTATTTCTCCCAGAATTAGTGGAACACTACCGCAGTACCTAAGAATCAGTTGTGCAGAATATATATACACATGCGAATTTTCTGCTTTGCCTCTAACTCAAAAATCGTTGAAAAGAAAATTTATTCTTTTACAGCACTACAGATGTTACTGCAGATGTGATAATTCATTTATCAAACTTAGTCAAAATTACTGCTAGATATGTCATCTGTGTTTTCTTTGCGTCAAATCAGCCCTACAAATCCTCAAGTACATACATACAAATATTTCTTCACCTTCGAAAATATCCTAATTCATCGAGTCTCCTTCCTCTCTTGCTATTCCATTTTCCCTTCTCGAATATTTCTTTTCCTTTCTTACTATTGGCAAAAAGAAACTTGGAGACGGAATAATAATCTTTATTGTAATAATAATTGTACGCAACGTAAAGAGAATTGTTTGTTATATAATAATTTAATTTTCAATGCGATGATACGGAGGAACGCAAAACTCTTTTTTTCATAGGCGAAAATTTAAAACATTTCTTCCTTACGAACAAATAAATATTTTCAAATTAAATATAATTAATTAAAAAAAAAAATTAAAATTTTTTATTATTGATATAATTTATTGATATATATATATAT